GGGCCATCTGTATCCTATGATCATCGGGAATCTCTGTTGTAATTTTTAAGCTCCCAGGAAATAAATAATACTAATTTTTAAAATTATAAATTTACAAATAAAAAAAATAGCTATGTAATATGACAAAACTTTTGAATCAACCCACGTATTGTATAAATTAAAAAATTTACTACTGTAATTATTTTTATAAATTACAGTACTAATATTCATTTAAATTGTATAGCTATAAAAATGGATATTAAGGCAGTACTGGCAAATTCCAATTAGGCATACTAATGCTGTATATCTAAAAATATTTGAACATAGTAACGTAACAACTTTGTTTTATTGTGAAACAATAACAAACAATATTATTTTCACGTCAGGTGCCAAGGTCGTATTTTATTGAACACAAAAAAAAATTGTTATAAACTGATAACACATTGTACACTTAAATAACACTGCTACTAGGTTTTAATCGGACTAAACCTGTGGAATCATCAATGACACTATCAGGAAACAGATAGACTTACCTGTAACAAACAATACCCATGCTTACCTTAATCATAAACTCATTTCAGAAATCGTGTAATTGATACTATAGTGCTCATAAAGTATGCAAATCGGATTATCAAAATACTAGTTAATACGGATAATCATTATATATTTTAGGTTGACCGATTTTCCTGAACTTGGCTGTGAAGCAAAAATTAGAGAATTGAAGTTAACAGACAACAAATTACCTGTATATGAAATAGGAAAAAAGGGTATATCAAGGACACAAGTTTTTTTTTGTTATTTTTTTTTTTTTGGTTTGGTCTGTTTAGTTTTTTTTTTTTTTTTGTTATTTTTTTTTTCTTTTATACACCAAATCAGGCGTTGCTGTGAATATCGATTTAGTGATGTGTCGAAATAGGAAGTAGTGAAAGGATGAAACTGAAAAAAAAAAGCTGAAAGCGTCGGTATATGATGTTTTATTGTTGAATGCTGAGTTAGTTGCCAGTTGATGTACACAGGTCGAAAAAACTGCTGACCCTGTTTGTGTTGACTTTGCTAAGCTGAAAGAAGGCCGAACACGGAAGTAGTTGATATTTTGTTGCCCACAAAAAGCTGAGGGACGCGATTGAAAAAAAAAAAAAAAAAAATACGATAGCACATCCACATCACTAGAAACAATTAGGCTATACAATGAATATTTCTAATGGCGGGTTCCTAGAATAAATCTTTTTTCCGACAAATTCAAACTAGAATATCCTGTTAGTAAGGTGAACGAGGCCGCGGGTAGGGTTCATAACGGGTCGGTGGAGGTGGTCGACGATCTCTATCGTAAGTTCGATCATATGCTCTGTCGTATGCGCGGTCGTAACCCCTTTCATATCCCCTATCGTAATATGGTCTATCATATGCACGATCATAATATGGTTCACGCCCATAACCTCTTGGTGGTCTATCGTAGCGATCATAGGGTCTACTATACTCATATCTAGGATCAAATCTGTCAACTCGACGAGGTTCTGTAATTTGAAATAATAAGATCAATAATGCATTAAAGGCATCAGCATACAAAAAAAAAATATATATATACATTTTTGTACATACCACGACGTTTGGGTGGTCCGTAATAACGACCAGGAGTTGGGGTTCTGGCTCTAGAGCGACGGGCCTTAAAAAAATAATCGATATCGATTAGAGCTTGTTCGTAATAGTGAAAGTGATCAATATAATTCTTAATTAAAATTTACCTTTTCTACAGTTATAGAGCGGCCATTAATATCTGAACCATGGATACCTTGCCTTGCTGCATCAGCTTCTTCGGTGGTTTCCATCGTTACAAATCCAAAACCACGAGACTCTCGAGTGTGAGGATCATACATAATTTGGGCTTTTACAACCTATTATGAACATATAACCATCAATAACTGGTAAAATGAAATGCATAGAAAACATTAACGCTATTAAAGTTAAAACTACCTTGCCATATTTTGCAAATAGCTCTTCTAATTCTCGATCTCCTGTTCTAGTGGATAACCCTGTAACGAACAAATTATTTCCAGGATTTATATCATCTGCTTCCCTACTATAATGTCTATCAGAAGTGCTATTATTGAATATGTTTATATATGTTTATTAGATATAATGTTCATTATGTATTAAACATTTTAATAAACGATTCAAATAAATTTTTATGTTGTACCTTCTTTCTCTGGGGGATCGAGACCTATTAGACGATCTTGATCTTGACTGACTTGGACTACGATCATGTCGTTCATCGTGACGGTCGTCCCTATGACGACTGTCATGATGTCTGTCATCCCTGTCATCCCTATCATCCCGGTCATCCCTATCATCCCTGTCGTCCCTGTCGTCCCTATCGTCCCTGTCATCCCTGTCGTCCCTGTCGTCCCTGTCGTCCCTGTCATCCCGATGTCTATCGTCTGGGTGTCGTCCGTCGCGGTGGCGATCATCTTGATCCTGCGAGAAAAGGTCAGAACCGTTCGGCGCTGAAAACATAACCATAAATGCAAAGTGAAAAAAAATAATGTACATAATAAAACACACTGTTAACGAAATCATGTTTACCATCAACTTCACTCATTTTCTCTGTAAGGTTGATTCTGGTATAAGTGAAATAAATTTCAAGCTGTGTATTATATGTTGTACACTCAAAGAGCACTTAACATTAACGTCAAAGAATTCCCCGATTTAAATCTAAATTCAGGATCACGGGTCACATGGCTTCCACTAGTCATTGTCAAATGTTTCAAAAAGTATAGATAATGGTAACCCAAATATTTAACAATGTCGCCCAAAACCTATCGCTATGATAATCAACAATCAGATTACCAAATTCTTTATTTAATTCAAGTTAGGTGGTCTAGTGACTTTTTGTGTCAGTTTTGAATAGCGCGCAGCGATAATTCAAAAACAAAAGCTCAAAATGTTAAACGTTTATTGATAACTTTTTATACGGTTCATATGAGGACCTGTTGGGAAGGAATAATATATATATTTTTTTAAAAAAAAATAGTCTAAAATATTTTTTTGAGCAACAAGTGAAACGTTATCAAGCTATTTAACACAGGCAAATTTGGCTAATTTAAAAAAAATATTATAATATATGTTAGGGAACGCCTATTTCCACTATGAAAATTTACTATTTTCACCATTTACGTAGTTTTTCATGACATATTCTTCATGTTTATGTAGCTGAAAGTCATGTGAAAGCATGGTGGAAATAGGCGTTCCCTATAATTATAATATTATTATATATAATACTGTAATTTAAACTTGAATAACTTTTGATTTACTAAACCAATTTGAATGATTTAACTACCAAAATAATTTTCTTAAAAAGAGAATTCGAATGAACCCAAAATCATCTGATTCTGATTACGTGATCTAGAGGTTGATAGAGTTTTGTATTTATTATATAATAAATATAATACAAAATTTTATTGATCTTAGAATCATATAATTAGAATCTGATGATTTTGAGTTCATTCGAATTCTCTCTTTGAGAGGATCATTTTGGTAATTAAATTATCTAAATTGGTTTAGTAGATCAAAAGTTATTCAAATTTAAACTATTATATATAAAAATACAGTATTATAATTATAATATATTATTTATATATAGTGTGTTGTTAATTTTTACTCTAGGTGATGTTATCTGGTTGTATAAAAACCAATTAGCTTTCTGGAGCATAATAGAAGTTTGTTTTTATTGGATAATCTACACAAATTCGAATTGGCCAAAAATTAAAGGTTAACACATGTTATTTTATAATGCTTGTAAATTTAATATTTTTATAGTATTTCATAAAATTCATAAGACAATTTTTTAATAGGTTTATTTATATGTACTCTAAGGTATGTGTACTCATATCATATGACCTATATAGATTACTATAAATTTCAAGATCAGGTGTAATGTTACATGATCAGAAAAATTCAAAACAAACATTTGTTTTGACAAAATCACCAATTTCACAAGAATTGCATACTAAACCACCTTCTGTACATTAATAAAAAGTTTTCTTTGAGCAATTTTACTATATAATTGCCTAAACATAAACAATATCGGTATTACTATCATATCAGCCAATTCAAAACCAAAAATCTAATTACTAGTTGCTACCAACTCTTTCCGATGATCCTCTGGACAACACAACAAAAAACCGAACTACGGAAAAACGATATAGAAAGTTTTAAGATATATACTATTCTCAGTCCTGTCTTGAGTAGAACAGTTGTCAACGAAGCCTAGAAGACATGAAACACCGAGGAGCGGGCGTAACTTAGGCGGTTTTTCTTGGGGTCAAGCTTTTTTATTTCGGTGGACTCCCCAAGTTATTTGGCATCCAAACCAGAAAGGTTTTCTGGAAACTGAATTTATCTACGAACAGGTTGCTGCTGATGAAACTTGAAAGACGTGAAATACCAAGGAGCGGGCGTAACTTAAGTGGTTTTTCCTGGGGTCAAACTTTCTTTGCTTGGTAGACTCCCCAGGTTATTTAGCATTCAAACTAGAAAGTTTATTCTAGAAGCAAGTAGTGGACTGGCCCTCGCTGAGATAATATAGTCTTGTAAAACCAACTATACAACCGTAAAACTTACAGAAGAACCTCACATATTTCCGTTGTCCCTTCACTATTTTTTCAAGGAAAATTTTGTAAAAAGTGGGCGACTTAGCTTACCCCTTCAAAAGATCGACAGATTGTTTACTTTCCTAATCGAGCAGTATTGTTTACTTTTTTTTTACCTGTCACAACAAACACGTGGATACATATAGAGTAGTAGATCTATGATTACATGCCTCGAATTTGACGATCTGGACAAACAATGCTCTGAGCCCAATAGTGCGATGTCCGACTTCTCTATGGTGCTGACAGTCGAAGAAGCTTTCCTCTTATATTATACTTATATACTGTACAAGAAAGGTGCGGTATTGCGATCAAAAAGATATTGTGGCCAAGTAGCATATCTTGTGATCTAGTAATCAGACTTGAATAAATTTTATACCATTTGA